TCGCATGTCCTGTAAGTCATAAGGAGATGGATCAGACTGACGGTGATACTGGTCCCAAAGATGAAAACCGTAGTTCGAATGTCGACTGCAATCGCTGCTATGAGGTCGAGCACCGTTGCCCCATTGCCGACTAAACTCTTTATTCGTATAGTGGTCGCCATGATGTCTGAGGTCGTCTGGTCGATTCATGTTTTCAATGAGGTTGTCTTTGTGATAGGAAAGAGTAAAGACAGGAACACGTCGACGAACATGCGACGATTCACCGTAATTGTCAGCACAGGTGTTCGTGGAGTCCGTTTTGATGTGAAACGGTAGTTTTGCATTTCCTTTCGTCAAATCTGCACATGATCGGTGCACCGGAGGAACGACGCTAACCCGTGGCGAATTGGACATGGAAACGGGTATGTTGTAGGTTAGAAGATTTTCAGTGCTCTGCGCACGGTAAGGAAACGTCGGAGGTGGGGGAGAAAACACAATTCCTGGATAAGTCAGTGGATCACCGGCATCTGAAGAGTTTCGAAACATCTTTTTATGCTTCCTTTTCCATTTCTTGTTCTCGTTTTCATATACGAACGGAAGAACAAAGGGGTCAGAGTAAAAAGGCTGAACGGATGGCGGATTGAGGGATACACGGTTTCGAACCTTCGGCTCAACGGGCATGTAAGAAGAACGAGAAATCGCATAATTTTCGTTGTAGCATGGCGACATCCGAATATGGCAGTTGGGGGCGGCCATGGCCAAGTCATCGCGCGGAGGACGGAGGCGGTCGAATATGGCGTTGTCCGATGACGACGTCTTACGAACGGGATGTTTGACAACGGGACGGGTTCGACAAACTGGATAGCTGAGCTTTTGTCCAACGTGGGGCTGTGAGTCAGGAGTTACAGTGCCAATCATTCGGTGCTTGACTGGCGCATCCATATGAGCATGATTGCTGTCCCTCCATGCAGACATGCTGCCACCATCCCCAATTCGAAACTGTGATCCATTCTTGTTACCCATCTGCAGGCGGACCGATCACGCAGCTCTAAAACATACCGTTTCATTCATAAAGAAACGACAATTCACTGCCACGGTAATAAGCTACTAAACTCAACAAATAAAATATCATTCAGGTCATGGGATCGACTGTAAAGTAGATTGCAATTTTGTTCATTATAATCATTAGATTCCATCGAGGCTTGAAATCAATGGAGCAGACGGGAGCTCTTATCTCTTATTTAGGCTGAACTCAAACCAACTCCGATTGGACAACGAAATAATAACTGCAAACTGCCTTCGGAAGAAATTGAGTACGACTTTTGCGCAGAATAGTGTGAAGATTTGGCGAGCGGAAACCGGCGGATACTTATCGCTGAGAATCGTTCACTTTGCATGTGAACAGGCTGAACAGAATGGGCTGAGCCTGCGACTAACCGATCAGAGAATTAATCATAGGAAATTAATTTGCCCCCCATTCAAACCGATGAAAAAACAATGGCAGCGGGAGAAACCTGAAAAAAACAGGGGACATCACGCCTTGATCGAATAACTCTTCTAAATGTTTACACTTAAACAGAAACTGTAAAAAAAGGACCAAAAGTACGATAGCGCGGCTTTGAGTTTCGAACCAAGGGTGGCAAGGTCAAAGCCGGAAATCAAACTGAAGTGAACACTCGAAATCCCGGCGGCCATTCTTCGACGCCGTTCTTCAGCCGTAAGGATATTCTGCTATTAACTTTGATTCTGCTATTCTAGGAAAAATGCTAAAAAATGACGACCGCTCGTCGGGACAAAAAAATCCCAATTTTAGAGGCCATTGCTGCAACGTTACAGAATCATAGTTTAAAACTATTGCTAGGAAAGAGTCCAACATTCGAACAACAGTCATTAACCAACGAAACGACACAGGCTACGGTTTCGACTGTCACCGGAAGGTATGGCGTCGTTAAGCGAAGACTGTCAAGTAGACAATTGAATCAGTAGCATCGGCAGGTTGTGTAACCGACAAACGAGGTGCGCAGTATGTCCATCCATTTCGTCTGCAAGTAGAAAGTCATCGGTCAATGAAGGGCCAGTAAAAACCGACCAACGTCACTTGGTGACACCGGCAACTGTTGTCAAAAAATGACAGGCGATCAATCAACGGGCATCATGGATAACATAACAGTCGGTCAGTCGACACACGTACGGAACTCGGTTCTTTTACAACGACGTCTTCGAAATGGCCGCCACGGAGTCGAGTCGACTGAACTGACGAACGAAAGGTGACCAGCCGGTCGGTTGGCGGTAAAGCAAGTTTTTGACAAGACTTGTTCGCAACTGGCGACCAACACAAGCCGTAAATGGGCTAAGATGACCGGAATTTCAACGACCGTCACGTGGCACCAGGCATCGCCAGCCAGCAGCAGCTCATGGCCAAGTTCGTCGTGCTGTCCCGATTGGCCCTTCGAAGACCGGTCCGGTATATCGGCCCACATAGACAACAACGACCGTCAAAGTATCGCTTCTGCATATCTGCGTGCTTGGCCGTTGCATCCTTCACGTAAGTGACTCATAACAAGACAAGGTGTTCCCTCCAGGTTGGTGGACCATGTGACACATCATGTCGTTCGGGTATCACGCACTACCCGAGATTACCTCTGTGTCGTGAGTCACATGGAAGCATCGTCATCGAGTCAATATTTGAGTACCAACTGCCAAATACACAAACTTAAGCGCAGCG